ACAAGGTAACGGAATATGGACATATACCAATATGGGTTTCAGAAAATAGAAAAAATTGGGCATATTTAGCAAGAAATAAGTGAAGAGTAAAAACATTCCTGAGTTAATTTAAGAGTCCAGTAATTTAAAAGAGTGTAATCAGAACAAATCACTGATTGACAATGTATGTATGTATATTTAATAAAATAACAAATACGATGTCGTACATCTTTGGTTTGAAACAGCTATTATTTTAGTTTAACTAAATTGGTGCCAACCCTCTTCGTAATTTTAGCAAGCTAAAACCTTCTTCAACCTCTTTCGTCTGACTTTCATATGGTGATACCTATTTATTTCAATAACTTAATTCCTTTAATTCAAATGGAATTTGATTTTTTAAACAGATGGCAACCCTCTATATGTAGTTAAAAAATAAACCCTTTTCATACACATTTCTATTGATTCCCATCTCTTAATAATTCATTTAACTTGTTAAAATATTTTGAATTTAATTTGTATTATTATATTTAAAAAAATAAACCTCTATTGTCTACAGGTCAAGTTTTTTAATCTGACACTTCATTTTTATACCCGAGCGCACTTGTGCACAAGGGTATATTAATTTTGTTCACATAACGGTTGTTTGTAACAGCCAAAACGAATCGAGATAGATATAGACAAATGTATACATAAATGATCAGGATAAAAAAAGAAATCGATTAAGCCATGTCTGTCTGTCCGTCCGTCTGTCCGTCTGTCCGTCTGTCCGTGTACACGATAACTCGAGCAAAAATTGAGATATCTCAACGAAATTTGGTATGTAGGCTTCCCTTAATCCAAGGTAGGTTGCTATTGAAAATGGGCGAAATCGGACTGTAACCACGCCCACTTCCCATATAACGGTAATTTCCAGAAATACGAAAACTGCGATATTTTAGTAACTACTGAAGATAAATCACTCAAAATTGGTATTTACAATAATTTTTTGACAAAAAATAATAATATTATACATTTTTGGAAAATGGGCGTAGCCACGCCCACTTATGGTTACATGTGTATATCTTGGTAACCGCTGTACCAATTTCTACCAAACTTGGCACAGTTGTCGGCCCTGGTACAGCATACAAAATCGCCTAAAATTGTTAAAATCGGACGATAACCACGCCCACATCCCATATAACGGTAATTTAGAGAAATACAAAATCTTCGATAAATCAGTAAATATTGAAGCTAATTTATTCAAAATTGATGCTTGCAACAATTCTTTACCAAGAAATACGTTTGTGATAAATTTTTGGAAAATGGGCGTGGCACCGCCCACTTATGATCACATATATGTATCTCAGTAACCGTTCTACCAATTTTTACCAAACTCGGTGTGGTTATTGTACTTGCCACATATAAGCAAACCGTTGAAAATTATTGAAATCGGAGTAAAATAACGGCCGCTTCTCATATAACGGTAAATTTCAGAACTGCTTGAAACTTCAAAATTTCGAAATCTAATGACTCTAATTTACTCAAAATTGATACGCCCCGGCTTACCATATAGCCGTAGCTTTCGGTAAGGCGAAAAACATATATTTAATACGTGCGCCGGGTATTTAATGTTCGGCTCTGCCCGAACTTAGGCTTTCTTACTTGTTGAAAATAGAACGAATCGTGCAGATCTGATGGCACTGACAAAAAATTAAAAAAATGATTTTATGCATTAGCAAAAAACATATTACTTAAAAAGTGCAAAGAATGAGTAAGCTTTTATTTCTTCTTACTTAAGGTAAAAATCCGTACTAAATATTTAATAAAATAACGAAAAATAACATATTTTTACATATGTATATTTTTAATTTATTCCATTAAAATTTAACATTTCTTGAAATTTTGTTTAAAAAAAATTGTTTTTCTGGAATATCACAGGAATCTGGACGTGGCAGGTTTATGTGCTCTCATTAAAAGATAGTTAAAAAACAACTTCTTTAAAAGGTCTGCAATTGGAAAATTTGGCCAAATACGTGTGTGCTCCATTGTACAATATACTATTGAACTATGATCCTCGTGCACCACTTTTTATTTGTTATTTAAAAAGTTAAAGAGCGTAAAATAAGTAAGAAAAATTAAAAAAAAAAACAATATATATTATACTTAAGGCATTTCTTGTCCATGTCATCAAATCTGCGCCGTTCGTTCGATTTTCGAAAATGAGGTTTCAAATGAAAGAGCTTTAGGCTTTAAGTACTAGGACTTACCGATGATTTTTGGAAATTTATGTTCGAAATTTTTTTATATGAAAAAAAGCACCCTCAAAAAAAAAATTGCCAAAAATCAACGGTAAGCCCAAGAGACGTAAAATTTGCACAGTGCTTTACTAAAATTTGATAGGCTACAAAACTGAATACCAAAATTTTGTCTAAAGACGCTGATGAAGAAGTTAGAAATTTTGGTCAAACTTTGTAGAATTTTCATAATTTTTGCACAAAGTCTGAAATTTGAATTTATACCGTGTATGTTAAGTAAGCAGCTATATTTTTATAAAAAAACAGCCAAAACTTACTAATGTATCGGGTCCCAGTTTTTATTTGGTTCAATGTATGTGTATCGCGGTAACCGATTTATCAATTTGTACCAATTTCAGGGCAATTATTGACCATGGCATAAAAAAGCTGGTGAGGCGTAGTGGTAAGCAGTGCGCGCTTCCACTCCGCAGCACCTGGGTTCAAGCCCTGGTCAAAGCAACATCGCAAAAAAATATAGAAAAAGGTTTTTTTCTTAAGAGCGGTCGTCCCTCGGCAGGCAATGGCAAACCTCCGAGTGTATTTCTGCCATGAAAAACAGCTTCTCTTAAAAAAAAGATGCAATCGCCGTTCGAAGTCGGCATAAAAGTGTAGGTCCCTCCGCTTTGTGTGACAACATCAAGGCGCACGCCACAAGTTGGAGGAGAAGCTCGGCCAAACACTAACATACATATGTGGAAGCGCCAATCTATTATTATTCTTATAAAAAAGCTATAAAGAAAATTTCCAAAATCGGACTAAAATTACACACACTTTCCACCTCAAAAAAAAACCGTTAAAAACGTATGGTGCATTCCTTTAAAACGTTGCACCACGTTGGATTTTGTATCCTAGCAGCTGAAGGAACGCAGACAAAAAATTTCAGACTTGTGCTCGCGACTTAAAAAAATAAATTTTTTCACAAAAAAATTCGAAGTTTCGGGTTTGCCCATATAATTATATGAATTTTGGAAATCAAATTTTAAATTCGTAATCAGTGACTCCGAGAGTTCTTAGGTATCAAGTTTCATTACAATCTATAATTATTTTAAAAAAGTCGTCGGTCATATTGGATCCACAATTTTGAATTTTGAAAATTGAATACCAGGTTCGAAATCATCGACGACGTATGCCCCTATACCAATTTTCAAAACAATCAATAATATTTTTAAAAAAGTGGCCGACAATATTTGATCCGCCATTTTGAATTTTCAAAAATGTAATATATATTTCGAAATCAGTGATAACGAAAACCCCTAAATACCAACTTCCATTGGAATCTGTCAAATGCATATTGAGTAAAAATTTGTTTCGTCCTATATTCTCGATTCGTCCCTATTTGCGGCGGCGACTTTGCCGATCACTTACAATAGGTTTGTCCCGCGGATGCGATGTAAGCACAATATTTTTACATGTATAATACGTTACTCTATGTCCATGATAAATTTAAAGTGCGATGTCTTAGGTCGATTTTTGCCGAAATTTTGACATTCTTGCGCACATTGTCCCGCTAAATTAGTTTAAGTGATCAATTTTTGACTTCGTCCAATGGTAATTGATAACCACACAAAATGCCAACGACGATAAAGTAAGGTTATTTTTAATTTTTTTATTACACAATGTAAACCCTCCTGACCCCAAAAGATCCCACGGTGCGATGTAAGTGTTGTCGTTTGTTAATCTACTGCAGTATATTTAGGTCCCCGATATGTTTTCTTTGACGATAAAATCGGCACATTTTTATTGTCGCTAGCTCCCGAACTATTTTGTTTTCGCTACTTTCTCGGTAGTTGAACCCAAGGTGAGCTCATACTAGGTGGTAGCGGCAGCCCAAAAATAAAAACACTAAGAAATTATACGCACAACGATAATCAGAACAAAACAATTTTACAACAAATACATAATTTTGACAATTAGTACAACCACAGCGAAAATTTAACTTCGACGGTAACACCTTTTTATATGAATTCGCTTTGGTCGAAGAGATCGAAAATATGGCCGGTTTCGTTAATTTCTCGATAGCGAAACGGGTGAGAATAACTTTCGCAGGTTTCCCTATCGAAAACACTTCGCAACAACTTTTGAAACTGTATGACGAGAACGAGAGTTCTGCTGCAACAAACTGAACGAGAGGAATACTTTTACGATAATTTTTCGGACCCGTTCTCAATAGTTTTGTACGCGAAAGTGTTGCCAAAATTTCTAAAACGAATTATCGTCTACGTTTCACGGGTGGGTGTTTTCTCAGCATCTCCAGGCATATTGCGTGCTCTGTACTTTAAAATTTGCACTCTGACCATATAAGAAAGTTAAATTTTTTTCGAGAAAAGAAGATCCCAAAAGTTTTGACTTCCACCTGACAGCCACTTTTTACGGCACCTTTTAACAAGCAAATATTTAAGTAGGTTAATATGGCAATTGCTGGAAATAGCAAGTATGTATTATGTATGTGTTGGTACTTAAAGGGTGGCTGTTTTTTTTGATTTTACTTCTCTACAGAGCTTTCGCACGGCGCGTCATGCGGTTAGTATGTGTGAATGAACAATGTGCCACACAGACTGAAAAGGCCACCAGTTCGGTGGGTAATGAAGGCCTTGGATGATGTAGCTTAGCGCTTCTCTTTGGCAACCTCCGTCGGAAGTGTAAAACGTAAATAAACAACATGTAGGTACAACACACATAACTATGTAGATATGTGCACATACACGAAATAGCACTTGACTATAAGGCTACAATTGTAGCGTTACCTACCTAAAGCTGGTGGGGAGGACGATGACGCTTTGCTGATGATTGCAGGCTTTGCCGCCGAAACTCAGTGGATATGACCTGAGCGTACACGTTTGTGGTTGACTTTCAGTACCATTCGAACTCCACTGATTTTGCGTTCAAAATTACGGTCACGACTTTGCTCCATGTTTGAGTGTGCATATGTACATACATACATATGTTTATTACTTTGAATCAAAGGATGTGTATGGAGCTAATTGATATGTTAATTCGACAAAATTTTACCCAGCATCACATCGGATGCGGGTGCCGAAGCGGGTTTCACGAACACACGAAATTTAATGGTAGACCACGATGTACGCGAAGATGAACGCTGAGTGAGTGCGACTGGACGCTTTCAGCGGTAATCAGATTATACGAAGTACTTTCAGCTTTGAACTTGAACCGGGTGCTACTAAAACAACGCTCTCGGCAACTGACAGCAATAGGCACAATGAACGACAGCTTCAACAATGCGAACATATAGCCCGTATAAATTATTTACAACACTTAGAGCCGCTTACACAAATGCACTATGCATCCACACTTAGGAGCACCAGCAGCCATAGGCTCACTGTGGCCGCTTTTCTTCATAATTAAAGCTCAATGCCATTTCATTTAAAATTCACACTGTGGGGCCGTTTATAACACACAGATGCACGCAGCTCGCGGGAACTTAAAAAACGCTAACACGTACGTATCCTCCGTCAACTACGAACGTATCCTTCGCGAAAACGAGACTGAACTGAAGCGATTGTTCATCGCTATGGCAAGTGGCGGGTGCTTCGTACGTTTGTTCACCATCTTCACCAAATTTTTTCCACCAAATCCATGTTGAGTGTGCGCTTTCGAGTTGTTTTGTATAGCGACAGGACACGAGAGCGTGGCTTCACATTAGGGAAAGGTATGAGGGTATCTCCGCTATTTTTATTTACATTTTCTTGTCATTGAAAAGCTACCTTTAGTAGATTATCAACGGCCATGGACAAACGGTGTGCCCTTTACAATGACCGGATATTAGAAAAGGAATCTAATGGTGCCGAAAAATTAAAAAAAAATCATATTATTTATACATGTGTAGGTACATCCATATTTAGGGTCGTATAATACATATATGTATGTATATATATATACAGTGAAACCTCTCCTAACGGACACCTCTATTAGACGGACATCTCCCTTGGGCGGACATTTTTTCCTATACCAAGTTTTAAGTATAAATTTCGGAACAAATTGCTCTCTCTTAAGCGTACACTCTCTTGGCCGGACGCGGACAGTTATTTTGCATAAAATTGACACAAAAACTCTATTGGGCGAACGCGAACCTCTTATCAACGGACATTAAGATTTCTTTTCATAACAAATCAAACAAAAACCTCCGTTGAGCGGACGTGAACTCCTCATAGGCGGACTACTAAATGGAAAAAGGGGACTTCCCGTACAAAATGTGATTGTTATGCACACATTTAGTTTGGTTTGCGCAGTGGTTTAGGTTCGTTATTTGAATTGTCAGAAACCCTTGGAGACTGATAAACACATGAAAACTATTGATAAAAAAGGTACTGACACTGAAAAAAATTAAAAATAAAACTACGTCAATCGACAATTTCCCAGTTTTTTATGTAGTGAATCTATGGTTTTATGTAGTTTATGGACTAAAATGTAATATTTATTTTTATTTTGTATTACTTAATATGTACTTACGCACATAAATGAAATGTGCATTTTTGAAAAAATACATGCACATTTTTGTTTGAACGATGTAATATCAATATCTTTTATTCAAATAAGAAATAGTGGCTATTCAATTAATTAAAACATTAAAAATTTCTAAAACAGGCTTCCCCTCCATTAAGCGGACACCTCTCTTGGGCGGACAAAAAATGACTGACGGTGAGTGTCCGCCCAAGGGAGGTTTCACTGTATATGTATATGTGCCGCTGTGATTACAGGTACGTACTACCACCCCGTAGAACCTATGTTCGATCCTTGATACGAGCAATATCTAAATTATAAAAAAAAATTTAAAATCGGTCGGCTCTCGGCAAGCAATGGCGAACCTCCAAATGTATTTTTGCCTCAAAAAAGCTTCTCATAAAATAATTTGCCGCTTGAAGGCGGTGTAAAACTATCGGCCCCTCCTCTTTTTGTGACAACATCAAGAATCGGATGAGAAGCTCGGTCAAGCACTAGGAAATGAGTAAGCGCCAAAAATTTAATTCAGTTATGTTTGTGTGCACCCGAGTTGTGTGATTTAAAATCTTTTTGATTTTAAATCTACTTTTAATTAATTTAATTTTAATCTACTGTTAATGTTAATGTTCCAGGAGGAACAACAGCTAACAGTTTCATTAATATACAAAGGAGATCGCTAGGAGACTGTTCTGATCCATTTAGCTTAAATGATAAAATGGAAGCTCCCTCCTTTTAAGGGCCTCCATTTCACTAGATATTGTGCCGCTTTAATTCTTGGAACGCCTTCCCAAAATTCCACTACATCCTCTTTAGCTCCTTTTACAAAGCCTCGACCAATGTACGGCCTTTCGCTCATGCATTCCACCAGTTTTTCGTATTGCGAGCGATTTGTTGTGATCTTCGATCTGTTAATTTTGTTAACATTTAATAATTTTTTTTTTTCTATTCACACTTCAACTTACATACGTACATATTTTTGCGTTTACACACTTTATTTTATTGATATTTTAAAACAATTTGTTTCGCTCCGACACGAGTTGCTATTCGTACAAAATTTCAGACAAATACATAAAAATGACAGCTACGTCGGATTCAGGCATGCCAACATTACGAATTTCGAAGATGGCCTACGAATTTCGAATTTACGATACGACAACGCGGATTTCAGCATACCAATTTTACGATTCGTAGCAAAATCGAATCTACGACGGATTATAGTAATTGTTGATACGTGGCGTATGAGTAACGCAATCTATACATATAATAAAATTGTAACAGGCCGATGTCTGTACATTATAGATATTAAAGAAATCTATACATATAATAAAATTGTAGCAGGCCGATGTCTGTACATTATAGATATTAAAGAAAACCTAATATGGGGTTCTTTATTAGAGCAATAGAAGCCAAATAAGCCTTTTGTAGAATAGAGTTGCCACCTGCTTATGAATTGCAGGTTAAGTAAATTGATAAGAAAAAGTTAATATTGCAATATGGGCGTCAAAAGAAAGAGATATAAGAAGCCCTACAGCCGAACATATGTTTTAGGGTTGCGACCTGTTTGAAAATTTTAATTTAATTTAATTTATAGGTCAAATTGAATATTGCAATATGGGTATCAAACTGAAGAGGTTTAGGAAATTATGCTGCCGAATGTATTTTTTAGGAGGGTTGCCACCTGTTTGAACAATTTTATTGAATTAATTTATAAAACAAGTAATTTTTAGCAAAAAAAAACCAACTTAAAAAAAAATATATATATTAGTGGTTCAAAATTTTTTTTTTTTTTGTAAATTCATAAACGCTACCTTAAATTATTGTTATTTGTGGTAAAAAAAAGAGTGAGAAAAAGATACACGTATTTTTTTGTTTTGAAAAAAAAAGTTTTCTTAGAGGTCGCGCTGGTCGGTTTTTTATAAAAACGCTGATGTTCTCAATTTTTTTATTTTCTTGACATGTTAAAATGCAGCTAAAAATTTGTTTTTTATAGGGTTAAAACACGTTTCCAGTGGGTTTATGTGAGCGATTTTTTTTTCAAAATTTTCTTTTTGATGTAGAAATCGAGATTTATGCATACAAATGGTTATCGAATACCGCCTACCAAGGCAATGCCTTCAAAAAAAACCCGTTTTTCGCCATTTGTGTGGGCCATTGTTGTCGTTGTTTGTATATGCATATTGTGGCAAGCGCAGTACTATATTCTCTAAACGAGGTCTTGGTTGTTCGCTAAATCAGCCCTCTTTGATGCGGTAGGCCCTCTGATACTTGACTCATTGCTGAAGGGTACGTATTCTGGTACCCGAGTTTAAGGACGCTTCATAGTTTAGTTGTCTTGTAGGGCAACACTGTTTTCTCTTTATGCAGATACAAAACTTTAGCTATTTACATATGGGTGAAAATTTCTCAACTGCACCCCGGATCTCAGTCAAGTTTGAATTTTTGCGTGAAAATTAGTGGGTAGAGAGGTTTATAGATGTGAAAGGAATTCTGAGAATTTTTTTGAAGAATTTTAATTTTTAAAGTTTTTATAACCAAATATATTTTTAAGCAATCTTTGTTTCAAAACTCACTTTCTCTTAAAGCATTTGACGAAAGTTGATGAAATTTTTTTGTAAGCGTAGTGACATTAGAGCTTTAAAAAATATATTTTTAAAATTTAGAAAAAAAAAATTTAAATTTATACATTATTAATATTCAAGTTACATCGAAAATATGTTCTCAATGAGTGTTTTTCATTTGGTTTATATTTTCAAAGACTGCATTTATTGAAGCAATAGGCGCGCATAGGCGGTGAGCGTGCATGGTTAACGATGCGTGCGCGCTGTGACCAATGTTGCTGTAAGTCAAAAACAGAAAAGATTTAACAGTTTTATTTTTTACAAATATTTTCTTCAATAAATGCAGTTTTCGAACATATAAACGAAATGGAAAACACTCATTGAGAACATATGTATTTTTAATGCAACTTGAATATTTACAATGTTTAAATTAAAAACAAAAATAATCTAAATTATAAAAATATTTTTTTAAGCTCTAATGTCAGCCGCTGTGGTGTAGTGGTAAGCAGTGCGCGCTTCCACTCCGCAACGCCTGGGTTCAAACCCTGGTCAAAGCAACATCGCAAAAAATATAGAAAAAAAGGTTTTTTCTTAATAGCGGTCGTCCCTCGGCAGGCAATGGCAAACTTCCGAGTGTATTTCTGCCATGAAAAACAGCTTCTCACATCTATAAGCCTCTCTACCCACAAATTTTTACGCAAAAATTCGAACTTGACTTGAAAACATTACAGTACAGATCAGCGTTGCCGCTTTGGTAATTTTTAACCAAAATTGGTATTTTTTTCTTTACATGTCAAATGTTCAAGCGTTGAATTTTTGATATATTTTCTTGTCACTTGTGTACATACAGTGGTCGAAAAAATTATAACCGCAGCATATTTTGATAAGTTTTAACATGTTATTTTTTTGTAATTAAATTTTGGTTATTTTTTATAAAATATTGTTCTTTCTTTAACACAACTCAAAAAAAAAAAATATCTAACTTTGTTCAATATTTAAAAATATCTACAAACTTTCGTACAAATTTTAGGTTAACGGAGCGCTGATTGCCTGAGAAGCTTGGTATCTTCGGATATACATACACAGACATATCGAGCCCTAACTGCCTAAATAACGTAAACGAAATTTTTTTCAAAATTTTCTTTTTAACGCAGAAAGGCATCGATATGTATGTTTGTACAGTTCTGTACATATAATAAGTTTGGTAATTTTTTGTTGAATTTGGTAACTTTTTCCGGTGATTTTGGTAAAAAATAAAAAAAATTTGTGGCTACACTGGTACAGATATACCCACTAGAACTTGACGCGAGATCTGCCTATATGAGAAATAAAAGAGGACTCCCCTTGACCTGATTTTGGAGCAACAAGATAGACTTGTCGGTTTTGTACTCCTTTATTACTCGCTTAGGAGTCAAATAGGAGGTCTCCTAAGCGAACAAGTAAAGAATGCTCTAGCCATGATTTAGGAGCATTAAAC